AAGCTGTGGGATTTTTAGAATATTTTGCAAATAGATTTTTAAAAGGATTTTAAAACCTATTCAAAATGAATGCACATTTTAAATATTTTTGCACACAAATAAACACTATGCACACGAAATGAATGCAATAAAAAATTTATCACCTATATTAGACCTGAGCAAATTTGGCCCCGCTTGACCTAGAATCCGTGAGCTTTAATAGATAGTATATATGTTTCGCTGCACAAAAAGCTTCCTTTATCCACCCGAGCCCGGCCTAGAATATTTATTTTAATTATTTTCTCACTGGATAATGTGGGGTGGCCTTCTCGGGCCCTAGAATCATCGGCATGACTAGTGCCCGGATGTTCGGACCGACACTCATGTCCAAACGCCCATGGATGTAGTCCATTTCTGTACTTGACACCGGCATCTACTGCTCCCAGGAAACTATGCCCTCACTTGGCGCCTCTGTCCGCCTGCACTACCCCCTCCACTTTCCGCCCGTGCCCCCTCCGCTTGCCACACCCGCATATCGCGTGGGGACTGCTTGTGCCCCCGCTGCCATCGCCCTCCGCTTTTCGCATCCGCTGCCGAGCAGTGCTCCATCCCTCCACTCCCCCCATGCGCATGCACGGCATCCAAGCAGCTGCAGCAGTCGATTGTGATAGGTATATATGTCCATTCAGGCCGCTCGGCCCAGCCCAGCCCGATAGGGCAAGGCACGGTAGAGCACGACAGGCCGCCGAGCCGTGCCGCCCCAGTCCACCATGCCTAGCCGACGGCCCAGGCATGGCCCATCGGGCCACTTTCCATGCCAGGCCGGGCCAGAAAGCACGGCCTTTTTAGCCGGCCAGGCCGGCCCGAGGCCCGCATCAGCAGGGGAAGGGAGAGAGGACGGAGTCACGGAGGACGAGGTCGAGGCGGAGGCGCTGTCCTACGACCGTGGTGGCGCTCGAGGCAATGACATGGAGGAGGCCGGGGAGGCGATGTAGAGGCACGATGATGAGGCGATGCAGAGGCACCGGGCACGGTCGGCAGCGGCCTCAAATCGGCCGCTTGAGGCTTTGACCACAAAGGAGGAGCATGCGGTCGTTGGTGCGGGGGGCGAGGAGGTGGCGTCGGCCGCCGGAGTGCTCTCCCTCAAGGCCCTCGATGCCAGATCTGGCGAATAGAGCAGGCAGGCGTAGGGGATTTGGTGGGCCGAGCTCGAGACAGTGGTGGGATAGAAGTCGGGCATGCGGCATGCCGCGCTCGCTCCCGAGGCGCGTCCTCATAGAGGAGAGGAGCCCGCGGCGGCGCATCCCGCCGGCAAGTCGCGGAGAGGGGGCGAGGGAGAGAGGTGATGCGGCGCGGCCGTGTGGAAGAGAGGGAGCGAGGCGAAGGTGAGAGGAGCGAGGCGCGGCCGTCTGTCGATGTCGGCAGGGGGAGTTAGGGTTAGGGGCGATGGCCGATGGGCCTTTAGCAGGCCATGGGGGACTGGGCCACGGGGAGGGGAGGAGGAGTGAGGAGGGGGAGGGGGATGTCGGGCCATTGGCCCACCTGGTCGGGCCATGCTTGGCCAGGGGCCTACAGGCCTAGCGCCTGACCTGCACGCCTGCTCCCTCGGTAGGGGCCACCCGGCCCGCATGTCACCGGGCCATACCATGCTCGTGTCGGGCTAAAAAAGCGGGCTTCGTGCCGTGCCGTCGTGCCTCGGGCTACATGGACAACTATAGTGATAGGTGAGTCACTTTGCAACATGTGCAACATCTCGATCTACTTTTAAAACATCCAGATGAAATACTTGCAACATTCGTACGAAACAATTGAGACACTTGCAACAAGCATCTAAAACACTTGCAAAAGCATATGAAAACTCTTGAAAACCATTGCAAACATATACAACATCTAGATAAAACAGTTGTAACATACGTGTGAAACATATACAACATCCAGATGAAACACTTGCAATGAACGTCTAAAAAAACAGATGAAACATTTGGAACATACACTTGAAACAGAAGTGTATAGCCATTGCAACATGTGCAACATTATGATCTACTTTTGCAACATCAATATGAAACACTTGCAACATCTAGATGAAACATCCAAAACACTTGAAACATAAGCTTGCAACGTACGCTGGGCAATGTCACCTTGATGCTTGCATGAGGTACCCGAGCAGCGTGGGCACATCGGTGAAGGAGAGTGTCGCGACGGTCAGGAGCTTCCACACACCGAGGTTGAGGTCCCCGCCAGGGAGGTCCACTTTGATGAGTGCCCGGAGGAGGTCATCGTTGTCGCCCCCACGCCGTCGAAGACGTCCGACTCGTCGACCGCGCCGGCGTCGACGAGGTTCTGGAGGAGTGGGCGCGGCATGGCGAGGTTCTGGAGGAGGAGTGAGCGTGGCGTAGCGGGAAAATGCGGCGCGGAGAAGAATGGGGCACTGGGCAGAGTGGGCGGATGCCCAGTGTGTTGAAGCCGCAACGAGCTAAGCGAGTGGGGATTTCCGTTGGTGGGGGTTATGTCGCTCAGTAGAGATGAAGGAGAGAGGATAGAGGGAAGTAGGCTGATTGCTTTTGGGCCCGATTCGCTGCATAGGCCCAGGAACGAGGCGCATCCGGATGCACATGCCCAGACGGACGCCCTAATCATACATTAGCGTAGAATCATCTAGTGGGATGATCTTGGGTGGAACTTTTTCGACGTAAAATATTAGTGCTTTTTCCCAAACCGCCCACAAATACTCGAGTCTAAGCCTATATCATGTTTAATTTAATATATACAATATATTTTCTTCTACCAAAAATTAGGTCATATCGCTAATTAAATCTAGAAAATTTTTAAATATTGCAGATCATGAATTTATTAGGGTGTTATAGTCACCACTAGAGATAGCGCATGCACGTTGATGCTGTCAAAATTAGGGAAGAAAGTGGCAGGCGGTGGGCGGCACCGCCGACGGCGAGGTCACCAGCGAGGTTGGGCGGTGGCGGTGGGATTTGGAGTTAGTGTTTTGGGTTTCAGGGGTCTGCCAGTGGCCTTAGAAAGGGCCAGCGGTGGTGGCAGGTTGAGGGGTGGTTAGTGGGCGGGCGGTGTGGAACATCCGGTGGGCCAAAGCCAACGCGGAGATGAAAAAAGTTGTCTCCATCCTCCGATTTGGAATATGGGTGAGGGAAAGGAACTACGGCAATGGGCGATGGATGGTGGGTGGCACAATCAACGGTAGCGAAGATGGTGAGCGGCATGACCAACAGTAGCGACTCCGTTGGCCGAGGTTGGTAGGTGCAGCCAACAGCCGGGCGGGTGGGGTGAGAGGTTGAACACGAAGGGTGGGGGCAAGTAACCGTGTGTCGATTAGAGCCTATTTGGATCCCATGGTCTAAAGTTTAGCCAACTTTACAAATAGATCACAAAGTGAGCTAAAGTTGTCTAAAGTTTTGTCCTCAACTTTGGGCAACTAAACTTAAGACCAAAGAATTCAAACGGGCCCCTACTCTCGATGCAATCTGGTTAAGAATGCCTGATCCATCATCTCAAAAAATTCGCTCTTTGTCACATTTCTAAACTCTAGATTCCAAACCAAAGCACCTATCACAGCTGCTTTTTGGGGGATCATGCGGCTAATCAGTGCAAGAACATGGATGACGATGTATCTCCACGAGACTTGTACTTGAACCACACTCTTCAAGCATCTTAAAAAGTGGAGTGGGTGTTTCCTTACCTGCTTAGGGTAGACATTGCTTCGGATGCTGCAAAGTGATGTGCATCTGCACTGTGATAAGGAATGTGAGTGAACCTTCTTAAGGCTGCCATGGCCCTCACTTTCTTGTATACAATTCCATGCCTAGAGCAAAAAGGCAAGGTGGATTCTCAGCTTTCAGATATGCCCGCCAAGTGGGAAAGGATGATTCCATGACATGGCACCGTCACAGAGGCTTCAACTCAAATATGCTTTTTTTTCTCTTCACCATATTAGATGTAAATGAATGCAATAAGAAAAAAAAACTAGCCAAGAGACACCAACCTAACGTAACCACCGTCAGCTGCAGACTTGCATATCACTGGTGCTATGCTGCTAACAAACAGCAGAATAAAATTTCATGGTCAGAATACATGGCATCAGCAATATTCTTATTTGACGCATCATGGCCATTTTAGTTACTGTAAATGCTTAGTGTTTGCCCTAATCATGGCGGTGTCGGTCATGGATCACAAATGATAGCTTCTAACAGACACAAGCAAGGTCCCTGTCATACTCATAGCACTGGGTCTCATCCGACAATCTGAGCCAGTTAGTTGCGGGATTGCCATCAGGACATCTGTAGGATGAAACTGAACTACTAAAAGTTCAGATGTGCATTTGTGCTGGGCTGCTGGCTCAGCTTGGTATTCAGACAGTATGAATGATACATGCACGCGCGACAAGTGATGTTACAGACATGTGGAAGACTGGATGCCAGCATGTGATGCTTCCAAATGACCAAGTGGTGCCTGATGCCATCTGCAGCGGAATCCTATGGAGGAATCGGACAAAGAGGTACTACTGGAATCGCTGCAGTTCGATTATTTTGAGACTTTTCTTGGGACTCTTCAATGCTGAAACTGGTTGAGAATTTATGGGGACCAAGAAATTTCTGGATTTTTAATTAAATGGGTTCCCCTTTTGAAATACTCTGGGTTTAATGGAACTGTATTTCAGCTGGAGTAAAGTAGTACACCAATACTTTATGCAATCAAATGCAATTTCCAGGGATCCATCAATTTCAGTGGTTAGCAGAAAAGGGATCAGCAAAGGTTCATGCAAATATACGAGTAAACTTAACTGAGCCTACAATAGGAACCAATTCATATGCAGCAGCGATGATAATAATAGCATAAGCTCTGCTTATTCTTTTCAATTCAGTGATGCTATTGACAGGGACATAGCACGTACTGAAATACAGGAATCTACATGTACACCCCCAGCCTTTGGCTACTCAAAGAAAAAAATGTTGGCTATATCAGCGGAAATAGTGCTAAACTGTACCAGAACCAAACTAAAAAACTTCAAACTCAAGGTCCTCGGAGTTGCTTCTGAACTCCAGGCACTTGCCTTCTTTCTTCCGCTCTTTCGCAAGAGTCACGACGTTGCAAGGTTGTGTCTCTGGTGGAGCAGCAGATCGAATTAGAGCCCAATTCAAGCCTTCAAAGAAAGGGTGCTGCTTGATCTCAGCAGCTCCTCTCAACGATCCAAATCTGTTCTCAGGCTCCTTCACCAGTAAACCTCTGATCAGATCTTTGGCATTGCTGCTCACAGATGGATTCTCTGGGAACCGGAGATTCTGTGAGACCACATTTGCCAATGTTTCATCATTCCCAGGTCCTCTGAAGGGTGTCTTGCCATATAAAAGTTCATAAAGGAAGACACCAAAGGTCCACCAGTCAACAGCGCTTCCATGGCCATCCCCTTTGATGATTTCTGGGGCAAGGTATTCATGTGTGCCAACAAAGGAATTAGAGCGTGCATCAGTAGGCTCTACAACAAGCTGCGGAAGCCTTTTCTTGGAGGACTTAGGCTTCTGAGGCTTCGGAATTGATGGTAGGCGTGGTGCGAAGCAAGATGTTTGGGCACAAGAGGGTTGCTGGAGGCAAGACGAATTGATGCAGTAGTTCTCTGCACAAGGTCCTGTAAGTTTCCTCGGTTGGTGGTTCGCTGTAATAGAAGATGACAGAAGGAGCACAGGATTCACTGAGCACCTCAGTGAAAGGTCAAAGTCCGATAACATTATATGCCCATCTTCACGGACTAGAATGTTCTCTGGCTTTAGATCACGGTATATGACCCCTAGCATGTGAAGATATTCCAAAGCAAGGAGAACTTCTGCAACATAAAACCTACAATGCAACCATTTCATCACTATCATAAACGATCAAAGCACAACAAACTAGTTGAGAACTAAATGAATGTACAAGAAGGCAAACAGGCCATGCATAATTCACAAGCACAATAGAGTAGAAAAATACAAAACAGATTTACAGGTTGACGATTAAATCTTAACAGTAAGTTATTACTGTTGCAAAAGAAGGCCTGTGACATTGTTTTTGTGATAAGCTTATGGGCACTGAATGAGATGCCTGACAAACCAACCAAGACTGTACTCTCGAGTGCCTACAACTACATTCCCAGGGCCTTGTTTAGATCACCTCCAAATTCCAAGTTTTTTCACTCTCTCCATCACATCAATTTTTGGACACATGCATGGAGCATTAAATGTAGGTAAAAAAATAACTAATTACATAGTTTGGTTGTAAATCACGAGATGGATCTTTTGAGCCTAGTTAGTCCATGATCGGACAAAGTTTGTCAAATACAAACGAAACGTGCTACAGTGTCCAGGTTGCAAAAATTTTCAATCTAAACAAGGCCCAGGTAACAGTTACAATGCCTGACAAACAAATTAAAGACTGAAGTGCCTACAACTACATGCCCAGGTAACAGTTACAATGGAGGCACAAATGCAAGATCACTCAGACAATTTAGCTATTTGTGCAAAAGAACATAGCAGATCGCGTAGTCCCAGCCGTCGGAATGAATGAATGAATTGGAAAGAACAAAGAAATAATGAAATGAGATGATTCTTTCTTAACAATTTCATAAGCAGATCTTCTCCTCCACACCAATCACAAGTTTTTTTTATTCCTTCTGTATATCGTCCTCACCCCCTTAATGATAGGTTTTGAAAAAGATTTTTCATGTCATTCCAGTTTAGGTCCGATTTGGATCTCTCTGTTGGTTCCCCTTCCTACTGAAACTTTTCTTCGAAGTGATACAGAATCTGGTGCACTTGAATTGTATTATTTAAGTGCTTATTGCTTGCCAAAAATCCTACTTCTACAATGGTAGGTCACCGGGTTATTCAAATAAGTTGTGTTTTCTGTGCTTTTCCCATGTTATAACTTCCGTACCAATTCGATCGATCCATAATGGATCGGTTACATTCTATTAGGGAGCCTATTCTTGACACTTCTGTGTGGTATTCATTCTCGTTCGGCTCTTGGAGTCACATCCCGCAGTGGTTGGAACAGCTCACAAAATCCAACCACTTCACCTACTTTATTAACCGCAACCATTTCCATACCTCTATAGAAACAGAGGGGTTTCATGTTCTTTCATCCAATGGGTATTCCTCTCCATGTGTATTTGAAACTCAAAAGAGTGCAAATACAACTTCACAGTTCTCTCAAGAAGATATTGACTTAAAACAGCAAGTATGAACTAAAATCTTCATCTGGCTACATGGGTAGTTTTGAGCATTCAATTCTAATCTTGGTGATAAACAAGAAAATCAGATTGAAACAACTTTGTAAAGTAGACAGTGTACAGTAGTATATTGGTCATTGCATTTAACTTGTGGTCACTAGGTAAATTTATTTCTAGAAGAATTACCAAAGTCAGAAAAGGAACAGATAAAACCTTGGAGACTTCTAGTGCACTGAATATAAACTAATGCTTTAAGTTTTAAGTATTGATTGGAATTTACCTTGCTGCTGGCTCTGGAAAGCTTTTTCCAGGTTGTCTTTGACGAAGAACATGCAAATCACCGCCTGGACAGTACTCCATGACCAAGCATGAGAGATTGTCTGTGGTAAAATGGGCATAAAGAGTCGGGAGAAATGGATGATCTAGCATTTCTAGTATCTCCCTCTCAGCTTGTGCTCGTAGCATCTTCTTTCTATTAATAAGGTACTCGATGTCCATAACCTTCAAAGCAAATAAGCAATCTGAATCAACCAACTCAGCAAGATATACAGTCCCAATGTCCCCACAACCAAGCCTCTTCAGAAGCTTGAAATTGTCGAGTCCTAAGGAACCCTGTTGCAATGCCAACTGACGAATGGTTATCCAGCGCAGATCCTTTGCCATGTGTGGCCTGTTACTATAGCCACACAATCCAAATTGGCTCTCGCCGCTGATACTTGTGCTACAACCATACTCACTAATGCTGCTCTTTGAATTCTGGGAACACTCGCCCTTTTCCTCTGCCAACCACTCGGAAGATGTTCCATCAGATTTTTCTGGCCCTGGAGTTGATTTCTCTTCTTCTGCACAGCTAGTGGGATTTGTAACACTAGATGTTGAAGAGCAGCTGGTTGATGCGAGGTAGATTGACTCCTTTGAAGAGCAGAATTTAGTACTATTGGAGGAATCACCCAACGAAGATGGTTCTTCTTTCACTTTCTTCTTACCGGAAGGCTTGCATCGAAAGACTGGCTTCACAAGTCGGGATGTAGTGATAGGTTTGCTCAAGATTGGGACTCTGGGAGAGCCATCATCAGTAGCTGCAGAAAATTTACTTCCTAGTTTACCATTTTCCACCAAGGAACTCTCGTTATCCATAGGGTCACCACTGATGACATCTTGGATTCTGATCTTCTTAATCTCAGCGGAGGTTGACGAAGCAGAACAGATAGAGGTAGAGGTGACTGCACTTCCATCAGCTGTCTCAAATTCACAGTCTTCACTGAACTCACTTGTACCTCTAGATGAACTCTTATCAATCTTCTCTGGAGTGAACGATATTTCAATCAGGTTCATCTTCTCATCATCATGCAGAAGACCCTCAGAACTACTTTGGACCATCAAAGAGGCATAAAGCCTGTGGATAGTCCCAGCTTCGGATGAACTTGAAGATCCAGGTGACATCGACAACCTCTTCATTGCAGCCATTTCTGATGCCTGGGAAATGCATAGCCTTCTTAGCGCTTGCTTCATATTAACAGTCTTGGAGGATATCCCGATGCCTGCACTTTGAGACAACCCAGACCTAGCTGGTTTCTTGAGAACACTCTTACCCAGCGCATCTCCACCTGTACTACCAGGACTAAGCGCCCTTCGGAAGGTCCTGCTATCGATAGCTTTAAGAAGCTGGTCGAGGTCATCTTCCACAGGATAATCATGACATTTGCCGCGCTTCTCCTCATCTTTGAGTTTAATATGCAGCAAGCTGGATCCACCAAAGGGTGTACTGTCGAATTCCTCGGTGGACTCAACTATCTCAGAGCTACAGCCAGACGACCCCATGGCCCAATTAGACTGATTCAACACTGGCAGACAAGGAGTACGCCAACTCTCAGTCCGTCGCCGGCAGGGGCATCCTGGGCAGGCAAGTCATAGTACAATACCTGCACCTTTCACTGGACGTCTTCCAAGATGAGAGCACCAGGGAGCTCCCAAAAAAGCAGGCCTTTTTTTAATAACAAGCGCAGCAACCACTGCCCACCCTGCAAAGATCATAAGATCCAGAGTTAGTGATTGAGACATGGAAACAGCTACGTCTTCAAAATTGCTGAAGAAAAGAAATTCAGAGGCGAGCACACAAGGCGCCAAGAAGAAATATACACACTTGACAACCGAATCAACTGAAGTCACAACTGGCAAGCAAGGTTAGTGCAAATCAAAAACTTGGGAAGCCACAGTTTAGGGGAAAACAAAGGCCAGATTCTCAACTGAGAACCCATTTTCACTCGCCGTTTCGAATCAGCAGGTAGAGGAAACGAAAGCGGAAACAGAGAGAGCTGCCTCTCGCAGACCAGGCCAGTTAAATCTACTAAAAACCGGGAAAAAGAAGAGGAAAAATCGAAACTTTTCTGCTCCAGAAGAAACACACGAAGCTAGCTCCAGATCCAGACGGCGGCGGCGCCGACTCGGTTCCAGCGACACCACATTTTGCGGAGCCGCTACGAACCCCGCCGAAGCAGCAAATTCTCAACTAATCTGAACCCAGCCTCGCCCATGGACAGGATTTGGGATCGGGAAAACGGCTCAAGAGCGGAGCTGGAGGCTGAAGCTTACCAGGAAATGCCGGCCCGGATCTCCACGAGTGGGAGGGGGAGAAGCGGCGGCAGAGTGGTGCCGGTGGCGCTGCGTCCTGGGGGGACGAGCTCAGCTTCTGCTGCTCTTGGGAATGGCGGCTTCGGAGAAGGTGTGCTGGCGTAGACAGGGCAAGGGAGCGAGAGGGGACACAGAGAGAAGGGAGAGGAGAGAGGAGAGAGAGAGAGGAGAGAGGAGAGAGAAAGGGGTAGAGGGAGAGAGAGAGGAGACGGGGTGCGCCCCACGAAGACGAATCGGTATAAGACTGTCTCCAAAAGGTGATGTATAGGCACACCTAAATACAAAAGAGTAACACGAGACCTAAAATCAGTCCCAACAAAGTATTTATACGGGTGCGCCCCACGAAGACGAATCGGTATAAGACTGTCTCCAAAAGGTGACGTATAGGCACACCTAAATACAAAATAGTAACATGAGACCTAAAATCAGTCCCAACGAAGTATTTATATGACCTATTTTGAGTTATCTGAGAGGCACAACCTAAATCTAAATATAAGTATCATCTATTCTGAAAACCTATTTATAGAAAGAATTCTCTTTTAGGTCATGTTATTAGGAAAAATGTCGAATAGGTATTGAATTATTTGACTATAGCGCTACTCAAATGTTGAATAGATCTTATATTTTGAGTGTTGTTATTGAGATGGTCTAAAGGCAGTCCAGGATCCTCCGTGTAGAGGCCACCAGTGGCAACTCCAAGTGCCGTTTGGGCGCGTCCTCAGCCGTCCAATCAAGATCTCAACGGCTGCAATTGTTCGCTGTTTTACCACTTCCGTCACAAACATAATAAAATTCTAGATTTTGATTAAGTAATTTTATGTTCGATCAAGTTTGTACGAAAAAATGTCAATATATATGTCTCCAATTAGATTTATTATGACAATATATTACATTGTCAATGTAATGATACTTATAATCCGGTAATATAAATGTTAGTAATTTGTTATATAGGTTTAATTAAATTTAAAATTGTTTGATTCCTAAAAAAAGAGAATTGAATTCTTTTTGAGACGGATAAGTTGAAGAATTTTGACGGAAAACATTCAACCACAAAATCCCACAATGATTAGACCTCATTGTTCCAATATTCCCCTGCAAAATACATCATGTTCGCTTGAGCTACTTTTTAGCTATGGAACAGTAATTTTCTCTCATAATATTTCAGCATAAGCATTAGTATAAGCCAAATTTCAGCATAATCGAATAGGGTGATAGATTGTATGTATCATGAAAAAGAGAACCAACCAGCTAGATGGAGACATAATATTGATAGATCCATTTACTCAAAAAGAGGAGACATATATATGGATCAACATGGTACACCGTTTCCGTTTAATCGGTTGTTTTGACCGTTTAAATGGTCGTTTTACCCGTTTAAACACCTGTTTTGCCCGAATAATGGGCTAAACGACAGATGACCGACCGTTTACCGTTTAGCGTTTAGGATAACACTTATGCATGATCACAAACTCAAACCCCTCATACACGCTATGAGGTTATATGTGTGACTGCAACCATATCTAATCTTCACCTAAACATTGGAGATATTTTTCTGACAAATAAGGAGTAACTTAGCTATCGTCGCCCTGTGATTGCTGAGCATCGTAAGTTACTTGCAAGTACTTGCAAGTGTCTCTTTCAAGAATAAGGAAGTTGCTTGCATAATGTGCAAAAGATCTTGACCAAATTGCTTGATTTTGGTAGACTTTTAGTGTTGGGGGTTTGCTACTTTGGAATACAATGGAGGCAAAGAAGTTGGGGCCTGAGAATTTGTCCATCTCAGGAGGATGGTGTGTGTCACGCACGCTGAAAATGACGTAACTGAATTTTGGTTAGCTTACAAATAATCTTAATTTGTACATACACATGGAGAACAAAAATAAGAGAATAAGTGATGTTATTTCTGTGGGAATCGAAAGAGTAGTTAAGTATTTAAAAAAACCATGAAAAATAATAGTACAATGTGTTCAGATAAAACAGGGTCTCTCTTTATAGGCCCTATTGGCTTGGAGGAATCTGGATGAATCTGGAGGAATTTGTGAGAGAGTGAACAGTGAAACCAGCCGTGCACAGTGAAACCCGGCTGGTTTTCACACCAGCCGAACTGCCCCATATACTTTCTCTATTACAAGTTATAAGACGTTTTGGTTTTTTAAATAATATACATTATGTCTAGATATATAGTAAAAGCAATGTATTTTGAAAAGTTAAAACGCATTATAATTTGGAATTGACAGAGTGTATTTTTTAAGAATTCATCATTGGGCATTTGTGACGCCTTGTGTGTGGATGGAAAACCATGGCAAGACTACAAGAGACAAGTACAACCATTGGAAGCCTTAATTTGTATACACGCAGTAGGTTATTAGTACCACATATATGGTCCAGACAAGTCTATGTTGGTTTTTGCCAGTTTTCGTACGCCCTTCAGAACATAAATGGATGTCCTTTTTAGACGTTGACAGAGCTTCACTAAAGATTTTATATATGTTGATACGTTTTAGAAACCTATCAATGAAATTATAACACTATGATATTAGTATATTTTAAATACAGGTCTTATTCGTTAGGTTAGTAAATATTTGCCTCTTTAAGTGCTTACTAAATCTCAAGCCACTTTATTATCTGGCAAATATGCATACAGTATGTATGTGTAGATAAAAAAAATATACATGCATTTTAATATTGTTGTATGTTGTACATGATGTAGATGTAAAGCTAAGGTACTTTATGAACCGGCAAATTTGCTCACGGGACAGGGCAGCACGCATTTTTCTCAGGCCGGCTACGTACTCACGTAGTACACGGTAGACCGTACATGTACGTGAATCAGGCACGTCATTGCCGTGTGTGAAAAGGTGACGCGTAAGTACGTATATAGAATATAGGGACATGCTACGTGAAAAAGCGAATCTTAGTCGGTAACGGCAACGACCGACTGACTGGATCTGATTGGTGGATTGGTTGAAGAATTCACTAGTAGTAGTCTGGATACTTTGCGGCCGAATTAAGAATGGCAGCTCGCCGTCGTTACTAACAAACCCATTCATTAGCTTCGGTTATCACTTGTGCTACGGATAAGAAAATTTGTGTTTATGGCTTTGTTTTTACTTCATTTTAATTATTAGTCGGCGTTGGTTTGGAATTCAATCATCCAAGAAGAAAACAAATCTAATTTACATCTCTCAACTATCACGGTCGTTCAATTTTGCTATGTAAACTATAGTATCATTCATTTGACCCCCGCAACTTTCAAAATTGTTTGTTTATACCTTGAATGGTTTTGATAGTGGGTTTGCTGGTGTGGCGCCATGTCAGAGGGATGTAAATTGCATTAAGTTGAAAGTGAAGGAAGATAAATCTATAAAATAAATTTTTAAAAAATTAAAAATATTTTAACATGGAAAAATAATATACAATTAAAAATCCTAAAATCGGGTTAAATCTTAGGAAATTTGCTTTACCTCCAAAAATTATGAAATTAGTTTCAATTTTTTTTTTCTAAAGTCATGCCCTATCTTATGGTGCTCAGCTTCAAATTATTTGAATTTTGATGGACTCATTTTGGTGCTCATTTGTTAGTAAAAGCTTTCGTTATCTTTTATGTCTAGTTGATTGATCGTCCGGACTACGTAGAAGGGGCACAAATGCATAGGTATACTAGGGCACATATCTTGTAGGGGAGGTTTGCTCTTTCATCTTACATTGATTTGAGTAGGGAAAATCGAGGTTTGAGAGGCTAGGGGCGGAGGAATGGGAAATGGAGGTGCAGCCCAAGGAGGAAGAAGGAAGGGAGAGAGGGAAGTGCAGGCCCGTGCGCGGCTTCGTATGCACCCTTGTCGCGCGAAGGTAGAATGACATGGTATGGACGCCACGTCACCCCGCCACAGTGGCAGGCTTGCGGCGCCAAGCCACCTAGTGCGGTACAGCAGTTTGGCCACGCCAAGGAGTTTGGTGTAGCCAAATGGGTTAGATTTTGGAATAAAGCAGTTTGCCCGTGTCAAGGAGTTTAGCATAGCCAAGTGGGTTAGATTTGGAATAAGAATTAGTTTCAAAATTTCTTCTTTTTAAAAAGGATTAAAAATAATTTAAAAAATCTACGTGGAAGATGCTGTCGTCCGATTTTGATCGCCTGTAGGGAGCAGCCAGGATATCTGCGTGGCCGCTGCCTGCGACGACGCGATCGCCCA